AGCATGGCTTTACTTCCTATAACAACATCAGTTCTTAACAGTAGAAGAGAGAGGCAGAAGAGTTAGAGAAAGTCACGTAATAAGGGATTCAGAATCCCAAGGTAAGCCATGTTGCTGGCTTTGAAGATGGGAGCCATGAGCTTTGGAAGGCAGGTAGCCTCTAGAAGCTGAAAAGCAATGCTAGGAGTCTCTCTGAGACCCCCCAGGAAGGAAGGAATGTAGCCTTGCTGAAGCCTTGACTGTAGCCCACTAAAACCCAGTCAGACTTCTTAACTCCAGATCCAGAAGCTAGAGAGTTGCAGCCACTTTAAGCCACTAAACTTGTGATAAGTCGTTCAACCACAGGAAACTAATGCAGGGTATTAGAGGTAAAGGGGAGAGGGTAGTAGTTATTGGATAACTAGCATGGAACTTATATACATGTTATCTCTTCAAAAACTATTTCTTTTTAGACAGGTCTTGCTATGTACTTCAGGCTGGCCTCAAACTCTATATACTCCAGGCTAGCCTCAAACTCAGCAATCCTCTTGCCTCAGCCTCTGGAGCATTTGGGTTACAGGCTTGCACTACCATGCTTGGCCATCTCTTCGAAAACTTCTGATGCAGGTGTTAGATGAGGTCTAGATTAGGAAACTGAGACTCAGTTTAAGTAACTTCCCCAGATACCCGAAGGTAATCCAGTTAGTGGAGGAGCAAACTGGAATTGCAACATGGGTCTGCAAAACGTATATGAAAGAACAGTGCCCTGGTTCTAAGTCACTCTGATACTCTGTGGCCTTGAGTGAGTACATTAACTCTGTAAGCCTCTGTTGCTTTGATTGTAGAAGTTATAGAGAGAAGTAATGTGTATGAGATTTGTATGAGAAGCAACCCGAGACATCAGTATCAAAGAGCATTATAAAGCATGCAGTCCCTTTCAGTGTAAAAGTCTTATCCAGTTGCCACATACCTGAATATTTGAATCTAATGTATCAAAGGTGTTATTGTTTGTGTCTAGGTGTCCCCCCCGCCCCCCACCAAAGCCTCATGCAATCATGGGGCAGCTTCTAGACTTTGTGATTAATTCATGATCCAATGCTGGGATGAGTGCTACACCTGCCCTGGGGTGGGTAGTCTGCATTACAATATGAGGAGGAGAAAGAGGCTGGCTAGCAGCCACAGCTGCTGCCCCTCGCTTTGCTCTTTGCTATTTTCCGCTGCCATGAATGGCTGCCCTCCGCCATGTGCCTCTCTGCCTTGGAGCCAGCCGAGTATGGACTGAAACCTCCACTAACTGCGAGCTGAATAAATCCTTCCTTCCTTAGTTCTGGGTGTTGGATATTTTGTCCCAGCAATGATAGAAAAGTAACTGAGTCAAAGGGGCTGAGTGATCTTCTTAAATACTAGCTGCATTTTGTAGCTCCAGTACTGGTATGAACCGGGCATCTCTATGCAAATCTTCCTTCCCTTGGGTACACGGGGCCTGGCAGAAGGGATCTGACTACACAGAAGTCATCATAAGCTGATCATAGGAGTTAGGCAATGAGGGGTTGGGCAGGCTTTCAGCCAGATCAT